GTGTTCATTCAGCTCTACACCTTGTTATTCAGATCGTTAGTCTTGTTTAATGCTCCTTGGGCAGTTTCCCGGGATAACGTCGCACATTAACCATGTTGTGAGATTCCCCGTCAGCCTACACTTCCTAACAACCATTGGGCTTTTTACACTCTTGTGAACATCCTCTCTTTGTGGAGATCTGGTGACACAGTGGATACCATCTCAGCCTCTGAGCTAGAACTTCTGAGATGGTATTGCTCACCAGGAATTTGGCGGCACAGTAGCTCAGTGGTTAGCACTGCTGCCTCACAGCGCCAGGGACCCGGGTTTGATTCCACCCTCAGGTGACTGTCTGTGTGAAGTTTGCACATTCTCCTCGTGTCTGCGAGGGTTTCCTCCGGGTGCTCCGGTTTCCTCCCACAGTCCAAAGATGTGCAGCTTAGGTGGATTGGCCATACTAAATTGTCCCACAGTGTCCAGGGATGTGCAGGCTAGGTGGACTAGGCATGGGAAAATGCAGGGTTGCAGGGGTTGGGTAGGGGGATGCTGTTTAGAGCATCAGTATGGACTCAATAGGCCGATTGGCCTGCTTCCGCACTGTGGGGATTCTATGATCCTATGAAGGAAGGCATGTTTGTAACACAGCCAGCAAGCTGAGTGTCAACTTGTGAATCCTTTCAACACACATCAGGCACGAGGAATGTGAGAGTTTCATGCGGGTCAGCCATGTTTGATGCAGGCTGTTGCTGTTTAAGCTGTAGTCTCTGATTCAGGTCAGCGATAGGTTACTGTGTAAACTGACATCAGTGTGCACTTTGATGCCATCTCTTCAGGAGAGAAGGTAAAACAGCTTCCCCCCTCCAACAGAGGTAAAGATTCCCAGTGTGGCAACTCTGTGAAATGCCTTGTGGACCCCCCATCCCACCCTGTACCCACTGCACTCCCAGCAATCCCAAAAGTACAGGCCAACAAACTCTCAGATGACGGTCCAATATTGCACTTGACATAGCTTGTTGAGGGGAGGTGATGGCCTAGTGGTATTATTGCTGGACTGTTGAGATGAAGATAACATTCTGGGGACTTGGGTTCAAATCCCACCATAGCAGATGGTCAAATTTGAATTCAATAAAATACCTAGAATTAAGAGTCTAATGGTGACTGTGAATCCATTGCCAATTATTGGGGAAAAACCCATCTGGCTCACTAATGTCCTTTAGGGAAGGAAACTGCCATCCTTACCTGGTCCAGCCAAATGTGACTCCAGACCCACAGCCATGTGCTTGACTCTTAACTGCCCTCTGGGCAATTAGGGATGGGCAATAAATGCTGAGGCCATTCAGCCCTTTGAGCCCGCTCCATTGTTCAATATGATCACGGCTGGTCATCCAACTCACAATCATAATGAACTGTATAAAATAGGGAGGAACTTGCAGGATTATTCATTTCTTTTCACCAAGATCGAAATTTATTGCCCATCCCTAGTTGCCCCTGAACTGAGAGGCTTGCTAAGCCATTTCTGAGGGCAGTTGGAGACAACCACATTGGCAGTACGTCTGGAGTCACATGTAGGCCAGACCAGGTAAGGACAGCAAACGGCCTTTTCCAAAAAGTTTTAGGATAGCGGAGACGATTTAGGATTCAGATGAGGAAAATTTCTTCATTCAAAGGGTAGGAAACTTGAGCAATTGTATACCACAGAAGGACATGGAGGCCAAGAATATGATGTGGTTTCAAGAAGGCAGCTCACTAGAAATTTTTCAAGAGCAGTGCATTGGGGCCATCCCCAAAACCAAGAGATAGGGTTTGAGTAGAGAAAGAGCACGAGTATGGTATTGAGATAAAGGATCAGCCATGATTATATTGAATGATGGAGTGGGCTGAAAAGTTTCTATGTAAAGGACATTATCAAACTTGATGGGTTTTTAACAACAGTTGTTTTAGTTGCTAACCCTATTTAAACACATTTATATTCTGGACTCACTGCTAGCTATATATCAGTTTCACCAGTGAGATTTGAACCCTTATCACAAAGGATTAAGCTGAATTTCTAGATAACAGCCCAGGGACATTACCACTACACCACCATAACCCCCAGCACCATCTTGGCAGAGGAACAACAATGTACAACTGCAGGTATATAGAGTAAAACTTAGTGGTGAGATCGGAATGACAGTGTTTCCGTGCATCTGCATCCATGTTACAGAAACACCATAAGACATTGGAGCAGAAATCGGTCATTCAGCCCACTGTGTCTGCTCTGCTATTCACAGCTGATCTGATAATCCACAACTCCACTTTCCTGCTTTTTCCCCATAGGGTTGTAAAGAAGGCGTATGGTGTGTTGGCTTTCATCGGCAGGGGAATTGAGTTTAAGAGCCACGAGATTATGCTGCAGCTCTATAAAACTCTGGTTAGACCACACTTGGAATATTGTGTTCAGTTCTGGTCACCTCATTATAGGAAGGATGTGGAAGCTTTAGAGAGGGTGCAGACGAGATTTACCAGGATGCTGCCTGGACTGGAGGGCAGGTCTTATGAGGAAAGGTTGAGGGAGCTAGGGCTTTTTTTATTGGAGCGAAGAAGGATGAGAGGTGACTTGATAGCGGTGTAGAAGATGATGACAGGCATAGATAGAGTGGATAGTCAGAGACATTTTCCCAGGGTGGAAATGACTATTATAAGGGGGCATAATTTTAAGGTGATTGAAGGAAGGTTTCGGGGAGATGTCAGAGGTAGGTTCTTCACACAGAGAGTGGTGGGCGTGTGGAATGCGCTGCCGGCAGTGGTAGAGGAGTCAGATACTTTAGACACTTTTAAGCAACTCTTGGATAGGCACATGGATAATAATAAAATGGAGGGTATGCAGGGTAGTTTGATCTTAGTAGGATAATAGGTCGGCACAACATTGTGGGCCGAAGGGCCTGTGCTGTGCTGTACTGTTCTATGTTCTATGTTCTCATCCTTGATCTGTCTATCTCAGCCTTGAACATACTTAATGACGCGGCCTCAACAACCCTCTGTAGTAAAGAATTCTAGAGATTCGCAACCCTCTGAGAGAAGAAATTCCTCCTCATCTCTGTCTTAAATGGGCGATGATGGCAAAATGTGTAAATCATGGCATCGTACAGCACAGAGGTGAGCCCTTTGACCCATCTTCCTTGTGCCAGCCCTTTGAAAGAGCCATCCAATTACTTGAACCTTTTGTCCGTACAAATAAGTCCCTTTGCTTCTTGTTCTTGAGAGTGTGACAGGCCCCAGATTTGGCAGGTGGTATGTCCGTGTTTCTCATTCATGAGTCGTTGCGTGTGCATCGAGGTGTTGATTCTTACAATCTTGAGAAACACGCCAGCGAATGTATGCACAGGTAGATCCCACAAACAGCTACATTCAAGGACCCAGAAGTCTGCCGCGTTCTGCTCCTGGGGATGCAATCCCAGCAAAGCCCTTCGCATTTTCTATATTTTCTAAAACCCTCTCCTTCATCTGCTCCCTCCCCCCACCAACCCCATCGCTCCACCCTGCTCCGTTCCGCCTCCCGGGAAATCTCCTCAGGGTGGGAGGGTCGTAGAATGCAGGCAAATACCTGCTGCCTTTGCCCTCCTGACAGCTTCTGTAACTCCGTCATCTGAGCGCCCATCCGTCACCAGAACCAGCAGGGCTGGCACACCAGGGCGTCTCCCAGCTGCCTGGCGGAATACATAATCCAGGACAAAACTGATCGCCTTCCCTGCAGAAGGACAGAAAATAGGGTTTACAAAACACGGAAGAAAAAGGGAAAAACTCGCACCTTTATATCACATATCCCGCAACCTCGGGAAACACGCCAGCGAACTGACACACACCATCATGGAAATCCTGCACCTTCATCGCCACACAGTGGAGCCAATGTTCTGGAATGTAAGTTGTGGAGAAAAGAATCAATTGCTTCCTCAGAGGAAGACATTGAGCTTGATCCCACATTGATTCCATTGATTACTGTTCAATCATGGGTTTGGGAATATCACTGGCATGGCTACCATTCAGTGCTCTTGAGAAGTTTCCAGTGAGCTACCTCCTTGAAACCACTGCGCCCCCATGCGATGTAGGTAACACTGTGACGTAGTTAATAATGTGATGTAGGTAATTTGGCAACACTTTCTGCAGCAGTTGGATCCAATTGAGCTGCTCACCGAGCCATTTCAGAGTTCTACATGGAACTACACAGATTAGACACGGCGAGGAGTGTAGATACTGCATAGGCCATGAGTAAAGGAGTCGGGTAGTAATCAACAATCTATGATTATTACCAATGAGCATAGCAAGATCCCACAAACAGGAACATTCAATGACCAGTGACGCTGATTTTTGTCTTAAACTGGTGTTTGTTGAGACTTAAAGAGGATGCAGGGGGATTCTGAGGAAGGGTCACCGGACCCGAAACGTTAACTCTGTTTTCTCCTTCACAGATGCTGCCAGACCTGCTGAGCTTTTCCAGCAACTTTGGTTTTGTTCCTGATTTACAGCATCCGCAGTTCTTTTGGTTTTTATTTTGCAGGGGAAATCTGCTGTTTCTCTTCTAGATGCACTGCACTGATCTCAATGGGACATCTCACCCCAGATTACTGTGGCGACCGACGCAAGGCTCGTTTCTACAGACAGCGCGTGGACTGCAGCGTTCAATAAGGGAGCCCACCACCACCTTCTCAGGGACAATTAGAGACAGATCATAAATGCTGGCCCAGCCAATGCCACTCACATCTCATGAGTGAATAAAGGAAGAAGAATTGAAGGTACAGGTGATCACAAACATGACCATTGCTAGCATGGTTTGCTTCAACACGACTAAGGGATATGTTTGTGAATAACTGGAGAAATTGTTGCCTACTGCAGTGAACGTTTAATGTACAAAAGTATCCCATTAAAAGAAACTCTTTCAAGAAGTTAAACCCATAATTTGCAATCACTGAATCCCTGCAATGCAGATAGAGGCCATTCAACCCATCAAGTCCACACCAACACTCTTGAAGGGCATCATACCCAGACCCACTCACCTGCATTCCCCTAACCTTGCATTTACCATGACTAATCCTAGCCTGCACACGATGGGCAATTTAGCATGGCCAATCCACCTAGCTTGCACATCTTTGTGCTGTGGGAGAAACCAGAGCACCTGCAGGAAACCTGCACAGACACAGGGAGAATGTGCAAACTCCACATGGATAGTCACCTGAGGGAGGAATTGAACCCAGGTCCCTGGCAGTGTGAGGCAGCAGTGCCAACCACTGAGCCACTCATGGATGACAGAACATGCGCAGGAAGGTTTTAGCTACTCCACGCCCTACCCTTTGTCCGCACCTTCCCACCCTCTGCAATCCAGGAAATTGCATTTATGTTGCACCTTCTGATGCCTTCAGTTACTGTCCCTCCCCACGTTTACAGGGTCGGTGGCACAGCGCCCCATTAGCCAAGTGTATTCACTGGTTCTTTCAAAATCTATTTAATGTGTTCAGGTTGATTGCACACAGTTATTTATTAATTAACCTATTCAGAGATGTTATTTCACACCTCTGGTGCAGTTGAATGCAGGCCTCCTGGCTCAGAGGTAGGCACATTACCATTACATCAGAAGATCCCACTAGGGTATTAATTATATTCAGGTGGTGGGGATTAATAAGGGACTCATCTGCGTTATAACAGGCTGTTGGTCAAAATAGCTCCGCTAGCAGTGTCAGACTGAACACCTAAAAGGGCCCTGGTTCAATCCTGTACATGTAGGTCTCTCCCTTTGGGCTTTTGTGATGCAGTGGCAATGCCTCTACCTCTGAGCGAGGAGGCCTGGGTTCAAGTCTCACTTGCTCCAGAAGTATGTCATAACATCCTTGGTAAGTGTAATTAGAAATGCCTAGATGGGGGGGAAATCAAAGTATTCTGTGGCGTACAAATGGACTCTAACAGCACAGTGGTAATGTCCTACTTCTGGATCAGAAGGCCTGGTTCAAGTGACACCTGTGCCAGACGTGTGTCATAGTGGACAGGTTGATTACAAATATCTCTGAGCTCATACATAAAGGAACAAGCTGGTTTGATATTACCAATGTGTATCTTTGTAATTAGAAGATTGCAACTGTGTTGAGACTACGGTCCAATCCTATACTTCAGCACTTAGCCCTGTGAGATCCAACACTCTGGATCCTACCTGCTTTATGTTCGAGCTCGTCCCTGGGTCAGACCCACCAGAGACTGCCAGCACAGACCAGGACTTACCATCCCTGGCTCCTGGGTGCTTCTCAGTCATTTTCCTCGACATTTACTGCGATACATGACCAGAATGTCACAGAACAGCCAAGTGAATTCCATCCCATTAACTTCATCCTGAGATTGTGGCCATGATGATGAGCCTTGTTCTGCCCCCTTCCCCCAATGCTTTGATAAAATGTCGTAGACAGGAACAGACCGCAAGCCTATCAGAGGGTCCTTTTATAAAGGTCTCTACGTTAGGTCCAACAGCCCCTTAGTGTTCAGATACTCAACCTGTTTGAGTCCCACCGCCTTGGTACGGAAGTTCTCTTATGGCCTGGAGCAGCTCCCGATGGGTACCAAATCGGCCAAGTGGAATTTCAATTTTGGACTCATCGCTGTACTGAACCACTGACACCTGCATAACGATACGCATACAAAATTACAAGGCAAATTCATCCTAACCAAACACAAGCATACAATTCTCATTTGACGTTCCTGTTTTGTAAAGCTTCATAACAGCTCATGCTGGCAGAAGTGTCATAGCAGGTGTTTTGTTTCAAGATAATCTCAACCTGCTCACAGGTGTTATTACACACCAGTGGAGCAAAAGGGACTTGAACCTAGAAGCTTGGTGTTTATATCATTGATCTCCCCAACTGAATCACAGAATGGTTGCAGCTCAAACGAAGGAAGCCACTCGGCCTATCCTGTCTGTACTGGTGGTGCTGCAGGAGTAACTTAGCTAGTTCCACGCTTCCCTTTCACCGCAGCCTTGCCAAGTATTTGCCTTTAGGTGTATATCCAATTCCCTTTCGGAAACCACAATTGAATCTGCCCCCACCAGCATCATGGCCACCCATTCCTGGTCCTACCCAATCTCTGCATCAAAAGACTTTCCTCCTGCTGTTCTTTTTGGTCCATTTCCCGGATATCTGTGTCCTCTGGTTCTCGGTCCTCCCAAAAAATGGGAACAGTTTCTCACAACCAATTCTGTCCCAGCTCCCTATGGCCTTGAACATCGCTATCAACTATCCCCCAAACCTTTCTCTCATTTGAAGCCCATAGTATGCTTGACCTTTGACCCCAGCAATCGCCAAACTAACAGCTCGGTAAACTCCAGAGGCAAAAAGAGCTTAATCTTATGACAGAGATGGTAGGAACTGCAGATGCCAGAAAATCTCAGATAACAAGGTGTAGAGCCAGATGAACACAGCCGGCCAAGCAGCATCATAGGAGCAGGAAGGCTGACGTTTCGGGCCTAGACCCTTCATCATTTTTTTTTTCTGATGAAGGGTCTAGGCCTGAAACGTCAGCTTTCCGGCTCCTCTGATGCTGCTTAGCCTGCTGTGTTCATCCAGCTCTACACCTTGTTATCCTAATCTTATGACTATGCCCTCTGGTCCTAGACTCTGCCCTCAGCGGAAACCTCCTCTCAACATTTACCCTTAAAAATCTTTTATGTTTCAATGAGATTACCTCTCATTCTTCGAAATGCCAGTGAGTAGAGTCCCAATCTTTTTTTTATTCATTCAGAGGATGAGGGCATCGCTGACCAGGCAGCATTTATTGCCCATCCCTAATTGCCCAGAGGGCAGTTAAGAGTCAATCACATTGCTGTGGGTCTGGAGTCACACGTAGGCCAGACCAGGTAAGGATGGCAGTTTCCTTCCCTAAAGGACTTTAGAGAACATTAGGGTCCTGATGGGATCTATCCCAGAATATTAAGGGAGGCAAGGGAATAAATTGCTGGAACAAATATCCTCTTTGGCCACAGGTGAGTTCCCAGAGGAATGGAGAGGAGCCAATACTGTCCCATTGTTTAAGAAGGGTAGCAGGGATAATCCAGGAAATTACAGACCTGTGAGCCTCACATTGGTGGTAGGGAAATTATTGGAAAAGATTCTCAGGGACAAGATCAATGCGCATTTAGAAGCAAATGGATTTATTAGCAATAGACAGCATGGTTTTGTGAGGGGAAGGTCATGCATCACTAACTTAAATCAAGTTTTTTGAGGAGGTGACGAAGATTTTTTAGGGAAAAGCTGAAGATGTTGTCTACATGGACTTCATTAAAGCTTTTGACAAAGTCCCTCATGGCAGACTGGTACAAAAGATGAAGTCACATGCCATCAGGGGTGAGCTGCCAAGATGGATACAGAACTGGCTTAGTCATAGATGGAGGGTAGCAGTGGAATGATGCTTTTCAGGATGGAGGGATGTGACTAGTGTTTCACAGGGATCAGTGCTGGGGCTTCTGCTGTTCGTGGTCTACATAAGTGATTTGGAGGAAAATATAGCTGGTCTTATTGGTAAGTTTGCGAACAATACAAAGTGGAGTTGTGGATAGTGACGAAGATTGTCTGAGGATACAGTCGGATATAGATCAGTTGGAGGCATGAGCAGGAAAATGGCAGATGGAGTTTAATCCAGACAAGTGTGAGGTGTTGTATTTTGGAAGGTCAAGTACAGGTGGAAATTATACAGTGAATAGCAGAACCCTTAGGAGTATCGATATGCAGAGGGATCTGGGTGTGCAGGTCCACAGATCACTGAAAGTGGCAGCGCAGGCAGATAAGGTAGTAAAAAAGGCCTGTGGTGTGCTTACCTTCATTGGAAGGGGCATTGAGTATAAGGATAGACAAGTTATGCTGCAGCATTATAGAAATTTAGTTAGGCCACACTTCGAATATTGCGTACAGTTCTGGTCACCACACTACCAGAAGGAAGTGGATGCTTTGGAGAGCAAACAGAAAAGGCTTACCGGGATGTTGCCTGGTATGGGGGATTTTAGCTATGAAGAAGGATAGACTGGGTTTGTTTTCACTGGAATGCAGGAGTTGAGGGGTGACTTGATAGAAGATTGTGAATGGCATGGATAGAATGAAAAATATGAGGCTTTCTCCCAGGTGGAGGTGTCAATTACTAGGGGACACAGGTTCAAGGTGTTGGGGGGGCAAGTTTAAAAGAGATGTGCGAGACAGGTTTTTCACACAAAGGGTGGTGAGTGCCTGGAACGTGCTGGAAGCAGGCACACTAGTAGCATTCAAGAAGCACCTGGATGAATACATGAATAGGAAGGGAATAGAGAGATATGGATCCTGTAAGTGAAGACAGTTTTAGTGTGGAAGGGCAATATGCATCAGCACAGGCTTGGAGGGCTGAAGGGCCTGTTCCTGTGCTGTACTGGTCCTTGTTATTAACCAAATGGGTTTTTCTGACAATTGTAAGTAGATTCATGGTCATCATTAGATTGTTAATTCCACCTTTATTTAATTCAAATTTCACCATCTGCCAGGATAAGATTTGAACCCAGGTCACCAGAATGTTATTTGGGTCTCTGGATTAACAATCCAGTAATAATACCACTGGGCTATTGCCTCCCCAGTGTAATTTGTTTAGCCCTTGCTCCTAAGACAATCCCTCCATACTAGGGATCATCCTGATCACTTTCTCACATGCTTATGGGGTCAGGGGAGTGGAACAGGCCTACCTGAGTGGCATCGGTTCCAATGCGGGGTAGATAAGAGACCACATTGTACAGGAACTGTTTCACTTTCTGAAAGCTGTTTTCTTGAATACTCCAGGAGCCATCGACCAGGAACACGATGTCAGCTCGTGCTCTGTTGCACACTGCAAACAACACAAAGCAAGTCAGGTCTCAACAGACAGGGAGAGAGGAAGCAGGAGTAGGCCATCCAGCCCCTCGAGACAACTCTACCAGGTTCGATCGATCTACAGACCACACAGGAACACAAGAACTCAAAGCAGGGGAAGGTCATTCGGCCCCTTAAACCTGCTTTCCTATTCAACAAGACCCTGGGCTAATCTGGTGTACGGCTGGATGAACACAGCAGGCTAAGCAACATCAGAGGAGCAGGGAAGCTGACGTTTCAGGTCTGGACCCAAGGGATACAAAGCTATGTGTCAACTGCATGGAAAATGGAATTAGAATAGTTACTTGGTTGTTTTTGACCAGCACAGACGCTATGGGTCAAAGGGCCTTTTTTCTATGCTGTAGATCTCTATAATTCTACGAATATGATTCTAAAAGGGTGACCTGTAACTTTTAAGCTATGTCCCTAGTTCTGAATTTCCTGACAATGGGAAACTTCCTCTCAGAACTCACCCTGTCAAGCCTCCTTGGAATCTTAAATGTTTCAATAAGGTCTCTTCTCATTCTTCTAAACTCTTGAGTATTGGCCCAACGTGCTCAATTCCAACTTTCCATCTAATCTGTCATATCCCATGATCCCCAAAGCTGCTTTCTTATCCAACGCATGCTAGCTTTTACCAGTTTTTCCTAGTTTGGTGTCACCTGACCAGTCATTGAGTCGTACAGCACAGAAACAGACCCTTCGGTCCAACCAGTCCATGCCGACCACAATCCCAAACTAAACTAGTCCCACCTGTCCATGCTTGGCCCATATCCCTCCAACATTTCTTATTCATGTACTTATCCAAATGTCTTTTAAACATTCTAACTGTACTGCATCCACCACCTACTCTGGAAGTTCATTCCACACACAAACTACCTTCTGTGTAAAAATGGTTGCCCCTCATGTCCTTTTTAAATCTTTCTCCTCTCATCTTAAAAAGATGTCCCCTAGTCTTCAAATCCCCTCCCTTGGGAAAAGACACCTGCCATTCACCTTATTATGCCCCTCATGATTTTAAAAATCTCTATAAGGTCATCCGTCAACCTCCTATGCTCCAGTGAAAAGAGGTCCCAGCCTATCCAACTTATTTTTATAACTCACACTCTCCATTCTTGGCAACATCCTGGTAAAGCTTTCCTGAACCCTCTTTAGCTTAATAATATCCTTCCTACAACGGGGCAACCAGAACTGCACACAGTACTCCAGAAGCAGCCTCACCAAGGTCCTGTACAACCTCCACATGACGTCCTAATTCCTATACTCAAAGGTCAGAGCAATGAAGCCAAGTGTGTTAAATACGTTCTTAACTACCCTGTTTACATGTGCCGTAAACTTCAAAGAATTATGTACCCGACCCCCTAGGTCTCTCTGTTCTACAACACTACCCAAGGCCTTACTTTTAATTGTATAAGTCCTGCCCTTGTTTGTGCCACCAAAATGCAATACCTCACATTTATCCAAATTAAACTCCATTTGCCACTCCTCAGCCCATAGACCCAATTGATCAAGATCTCTTTGTAATCTTAGATGACCTTCTTTACTGTCCACTATACCGCCAATTTTGGTGTCATCCGCAAACGTACTGATGATGCCTTCTATATTCTCATCTAAACCATTTGTATAAATGATTAGCAAAAGTGGACCCAGCAACCATCTCTGTGAAACACCACTGGTCACAGGTCTCCAGTCCGAAAAAGAACACTCCACCACCACTGTCTCCTGCTGTTAAGCCAATTTTGCATCCAATTGGCAAACTCGCTCTGAATCTCGTGTGATCTAACTTTACTAATTAGTCCACCACGCAGGACCTTGTCAAAAGCTTTACTGAAGTCCAAGTAAACAATGTCTACCACTCTACTCTTGTCAACCTTCTTTGTTACTTCCTCAAAAAACTGAATCAAGTTTGGAAAACACAATTTCTCTTGCACAAAACCATGCTGACTATCCCTAATCGTTCCTCACCTCTCTAAGTACGTATAAATGTTATCTTTCAGAATTACCACCAACAACTTACCCACCACCAAAGTCAGACTCTCAGCTCTATAGCTCCCAGGCTTCTCATTACATCCCTTCTTAAACAAAGGCAAAACATTAGTCGCTCTCCAGTCGTTTGGCACCTCATCCATGTTATGGACGATGCAAATATTTCTGCAAGGGGCCCCACAATGTCCTGGGATACACTAGATCAGGTCCCAGAGACTTACCCACCTCTATGTTTTTTAAGACCTCCAGCACTTCCTCTTCTGTAATGTGAATGTTTTCAAAACGTCAATATTTATTTCTCTGAGTTCTTGAGCCTCCATTTCTTCCTCCAAAGTAAAAACTGACACGAAATATTCATTTAATCTCTCTCCCATCTCCTGAGGTTCAACACAAAGATGACCTCTGTGATCTTTAAAGGGCCTTACTCTCTCTCTAGTCGGTCTCTTGCTCTTAACGTACTTGTAGAATCTCTTTGGATTATCCTTAACCTTATCTGCCAAGGCTATCTCATATCCTCTTTTTGCCCTCCTGATTTCCCTCTTGAGAATGCCCCTACACTCCTTATACTGTTCAAGAGATTCATTTGAATGCAACTGTCTGTATCTAATATATGATTCTTTTTTATTCTTGACTAGAACCTCAATATCTTTTTTCATCCATTGTTATTTAATCCTACCAGCCTTACCCTTCACTCTAACAGGAACATAATGCCTCTGAACTCTCGTTATCACACTTGTGAAAGCCTCCCATTTATCAGACATCGATTTATCTGCAAACAGTCTACTCCAATCAAGTTCTGAAAGTTGCTGTCTCATATCATTAAAATTTGCCTTACTCCAATTAAAAACTTTAACCTCTATGCAAGGCTTATCCTTTTCCATCACTATTTTAAAACAAATAGAATTATGATCACCAGACCCAAAGTGTTCCCCTATTATCACTTCAGTCCTTACCGTGCCTTATTTCCCAAGAGAAGGTCAAGTTTTGCTGTTTCTATAGTAGGAAGATTTTCATATTGAGAAAGAAAATTTTCTGGAACACATTTAACAGATTTTTCATCATCCAAACCTTTAACACTATGTAACCTCCACCAACCTCACAACCTATCAAGACCTCAGCTTTCCTTCAGTTCTGATCCTTTGCACATCCCAGGCTTTCATTGCCCAGTCATTATTACCCATGCCTTCAGCTGAAGGCCCTAAGCTCTGGAATTTAGCAATTCCTCTTCAACCTCTCCTCATGCCACCTGTTTTCAGATTCTCCTTAAAACCTAGTTCTGTGATCTTTGCCACATGTCTTCATATCTCCCTCAGTGGTTTGGTGTTTCCCTGTGTTTAAAATGCTGTATAAATATCTGGGATGTGTGGCTTATCTTATGAGAAAAGGCCGGACGTCTGGTGTGTCTCGTCATCTCTCTCACTCTTTCCAAGAATAAAGATTCGATAAACATACAAATTAGGAGTAGGCCATTCAGCCCCTCGGGCCTGCTCTGCCATTCAATGCAATCATGACGGATTTGAGTACTCCACATTCCTGACTAACCCTTGATATCTTTCACCCCCTTGATTAATGAGAATCTATCTACCTCTGCTTTAAAACTATCCAACTTGCACCACTGAAGACTCATCACTCTCTGAGGAAAAATATTCTCTTCATCTCTGTCTCAAATGGGCATTGCCTTATTTTTAAACAGCGATCCCTGTTTTTAAACTCTAACATAAAAGGAAACATCTTCCCTACATCCACCACATCACAATCCCTCAGGATCTTATATGTTTTAGTCAAGTCCGCTCTCATCCTTCTAAATTCCAGTGGATACAGGCCAAGCCTGCCCAGCCTTTCCTCATAAAAAAATAAACCATGCTTTCTAGATATTTACACAGCATTTTAAACATAGGGAAACATCAAACCACAGAGGGAGATATTAAACAGGTAACAAAGGTCATAGAAGTAGGCTCTCAAGAGCATCTGAAAACAGGTGGCCTGAGGAGAGGTTGAAGAGGAATTACCAAATTCCAGAGCTTAGAGCCATCAGGTGAAGGCATGGGCGGTAATGAGCAGGCAATGAAATCTGGGCATGTGCAAAGGGTTAGGATTGAAGAAAAACAAAGATCTTGATGGGCTGTGAGATTAACAGAGGTTACAGATGTAGCGTGGGACATAGAATCATAGAGTCATAGAATCCCATTCAGTCTTTCAAGTCCCCACCAACCCTCTGAACAGCATCCCACCCAAAACTAGTCCCCTACCCTCTCCCTGTAACCCAGGAACACAAAAGCGAGCAGAGACATCAGATTTGACTCATAAAGTCATAGAGCTGTACAGCATGGAAACAGACCCTTCGGTCCAACTCATCCATGCTGACCAGATATTCTAAATTGATCTGATCCTCTTTGCTAGCATTTGGTCCCTATCCCTCTAATCCCTTCCTATTCATGTATCCATCCAGATGCCTTTTAAATGCTGTAACTGTACCAGCCTCCGCCACCTCCTCTGGCAGCTCATTCTATACCTGCATCACCCTCTGCGTGAAAACGTTGCTTCTCAGGTCCCTTTTAAATCTTTCCCCTCTCACCTTAAACCAATGCCCTCTAGTTTTGGACTCCCCTACTCTGGGGAAAAGACCTTGGCTATTCACCCTATCCGTGCCCCTCATGATTTTATAATCTACTATAAGGTCACCCCTCAGCCTCCGATGCTCCAGGGAAAACAGCCCCGGCCTAGTCAGCTTCTTCCTATAGCTCAAACCCCCCCACCCAAGCCTGTGACAACATCCTTGGAAATCTTTTTGAACTCTTTCAAGTTTCACAACATCCTTCCTAAAGCAGGGAGCCCAGAAATGCACACAGTATTCCAAAAGTGGCCTAACTAATATCCTGCACAGCGTAAAAACATGACCTCCCAACTCCTATACTTAATGCACTGACCAATGAAGACAGTCCCTGCACAGAAAAAGACATTTGATGGCCCCTGGGCTTCTGGAACATTCTATGATTGCCCACTCACCAGGTTTCTCTGTAATGGACGTTTCAGGTCCAAATTCAGTTCCAAACACTGGCCGGATTGTGAAGACGTACTCTCTCCCAAGTTGCAAGTCGGTGATCTGGTAGGTACTGATTGTTTCTGGTATAGTGACAGATTGCTCGTCTTTTTGTGCTGAAAGGTATAAATATTATGGGATTACAGGGAGGTGTCAGCATTTAGACACTAATGAGCAAACACTAATCCTCAACAGTCCACTGCGAGCAGTTATTTTTATTCTTTCTTGGGACATGAGGTTCACTGGCAAGGTATTGAGCGTCCCAGGTCATCCTTGAGAAGGTACGGCCAGAAGGAATAATTAAATGAAACTGACTGAAAACGGCAACTGTACGTAACTTGCCACCAGCCACAGTCATGGACATGTGCTAGGGATGGCACCAAGTGTACGTCTGCAAAGTGAGATGTGTCTAGAAACAAGCAGCTGATTGGTTTGTGCAATTGTGACCAGTTGTGGATGCCAAAGTTCATCAGCCTGATGCCAACTCTGACTGGTTGCTGGCCAGGTTGTTGTGAACAATGCAGCCTTTGGACTGCTCGATTGGGGAGGTGCTAAGTCTCCCTCCCTGAAGCCTGAAGGAAGACAGTTATTTTCTCTCACCAGTCACTGCAAACTGTTGCCTTTAACCAATCACTAAGAGACTTTGCAGCTACTGTGCCAGTCATCCTGCGCCTCCTTCAAAGAAGAATTAGAACCTGGGGAAAAGAGATTGAGAAACGCAAACTCCTGACAAGCCAAATGGATTAACTCAGCGAACACTGTGGGCTATTGCGATTGCATTGTGGTTCTCAGTTACTTTTCCCTGTCTGTGTCTTTCTGAATGTGTCTGCCCGTCTGTATGTCTAGGGATTTTAAGAAGGGGTTAGAGTTTTAACTCATACACTCATTCACCTCGCCAGCCCCCCACACTCACTGATTATTCGCCAGCCTGCCCACTCACCCACTCCTATTAATTTCTATAAAAAAAATTTAATGCACAATAATTTGCTGTTAAACATTACCCACTACACATAGCCAACAAAAAAAATGCATGACAGAACCATGTGTTAATTCTCATCAGTCCCACTTTCATCAGTCTCTGTACATGTATTTTATACATAATCCTTAAACCATGCAGGTCTTCTTATGAGACACATTGCATGCTATTGTTGGCAGTTCATGTGGCATCTGCCTGTTCCTCGGATGATGTTCCTTCAGAGGGGAATGCCATTCCCATCGAAAGTGCTGGCACCATGGCAATTGTTGCTGCCGAACCGTTTTCGTTGTTGGGAAACAGTGGAACTCTGGGACTGATGGCCTTTTTGTGAAATTGGTGATGTCACATCTTCCTCATCAGCTGACTGCAGAGGTAGAGCAGTTGTGTGCATGTCTCTGCTAAAACAACAATATGTCTGCTTGTTCAAATTTATCGTATGCCATTGGAGAGACAACTGAGGTCCCAGATTGCCTCAGCACTGACTCAGGATAGAGTGTGAAGACAATGTGAGATATCAAATTTCCCAATCATTTATGAAGCACTTAAATTCTTCACTCACAGATTGAGTGCCATTGTTGCTCACAACAATGTTTGGAATGCTGTAATGACTGAAGTGTGCTTTCAGTGAGGTGAGAGTTCCAGCCTTTGACATCAAGACCACTGTTGACTCAGTGTTGTATCAAAGAGCCGCAACAAGACTGGAATCAATGCGAATCGGGGGCAAACTCTCTACTGGGTATATAGGAAGACAGTCATGGTTGCTGGAGGTCAGTCATCTCAGCTCCAGGACATCTCTGTATAAGTTACACAGGGTAGTGTCCTCGGCACAACCATCTTTAGCTGCTTCATCGATGATCTTCCCTCCATCATAAGGTCAGGATGTTCGGCAATGATTGCACAATGTTCAGCACCATTCATGACTCTTCAGATACTGAAAGAGTCCAAATTCAAATGCAACAAGATCTGGACAATATCCAGGTTTGGGTTGACAAGTGGCAAGTAACATTCGTGCCACACAAATGCCAAGCAATGACCATCTCCAATACAAGACAATCTAACCACCACTCCCTTGATAAACAACAGTGTTACCATCATTGAATTCCCCATTATTGAATGGGGTTACCATAGACCAGAAACTCAACTGAGAGGGGGTTAGTGGGGGTGGGCAGTGTGCTCCAACCATCATCCATGATCCGTTCAGGATCTTCATCAGTGGCTGGTTAGCTTGCTTAGCTCATCTGTTGCAATCACTACACTGGCTGATTTCATTGTTCACGTTTGGCCAGAGGATCTCTTGTCTTTCTAGAGATGAGAAGCTGTGAAAGTGTTACAATGATTTGTTGGATTCACGATGAACCTAGCAAAGTTCATCAGAGTGTGAACCTCCTCGGCGTAAGTTAGCCGTGTAAAGATGTGCTAATGCTGTTGGAGCACAGAACAAGGGCAGTCTGAATTAGGACTGAAGTGCTGTTAGCGCTCTGCTGAGTTACTACAACATCAATGATGAAATCTCCGTGCAGTTTGATACTTGCAAGACAGAATCTGCGCAACACCCATGTAACAAGAACAGCCAATTGCATTTGCATCCAGAGCATTAATATAAACTGAACAGCAACAGGCAAAGAGTGCCTGGCTATTGTCTTTGCTTGTAGCGTTGTAATCAGTGTCTTGTTTGCGAGAGACAAACTGACAGGAGAATCTGAGCACAGCCCATTTCCAAAGGTGTTTCTCAGTCTGCTTCTGTATTCTCCAAAACATCAGCAAAGAATGGTATTTTGTCTGGTGTCCTGCATGCTGCATTTATTTAATTCATTCAGTCGTGGGACAAGGGCATCGCTGGTTATTGCACATCCCTAACTATCCAGCAGGAACTTAAGTGTCAAACACATTGTCTGGATTTACATGTCGGCCAGACCTGGAAAAGATGACAGATTTTCTTCCTTAAAGGGCATTTGTGAACCTTTTTATCTGACAATGAATGAAAGCTCATGGTCACTCTGACAGGGATTAACTTTCAATTGTAGATTTATTCATTAATCAAATGTAATTTCTACCAGTTGCTGTGGTGGGATTTGAACCCATATCCCAAAAATATCTGCTTGATGTTCAGTGACATTATCACCATTGCCACCCTAACTGCATCATTGCTATTGGCCTTAACCACACGGGGAGGTGGTGGCCTAGTGGTATTATCGCTGGACTGTTAATCCAGGGACCCAGGTAATGTTCTGGGGGCCTGAGTTCAAATATTGCCATGGCAGATGGTGGAATTTGAATTTAATAAATTATCTGGAACTAAGAATCTAATGATGGCCATGAATCCATTGTTGATTGTAGGGGAAAATCCCATCTGGTTCATTAATGCCCTTTAGGGAAGGAAACTGCCATCCTTACCTGGTCTGGCCTATATGTGACTCCAGACCCACAGCAATGGGGTTAACTCTGAATTGTCTTCTGGGCAATAAATAGCCAGCAACACCCTCATCCTGTTAATGAATAAAGGAAAATAACACTTCCTGTGGTACTGAGTTGCACAGGGTCATCATACTCTCGGTTAACAGATTTCCCCTGAATTTATCAGGGACTATCTAATATTTTTGGCCCCTATTTTTTTGTGAACAGGTGGGATTCTTCCCCACCACTGAATTCAGGGTCATCATTAGATTCTTAACTGTGAATTTCCTTATGGGATTTAAATTTCTGCCATGACAGGATTTGAGGTAAGGTCCCCCTGGATTAACAGTCTAGCAATAATACCACCAAACCATAGTCTCCCTATTTACATTCTGTAGTTGACAAACAAGACGGCAAAGAAGTGAGATCTGATCTTAGTCTTGTTGCCAAAGCCAGACAGTGATTAGAACAGCAATGTCGTTATGTAATGCTTCTCTTCCTTAAAGACTTACAGAGAAAGGTCAATCATTTGTAAGCATTTCTATATTTGAACTTACAGGTAGCGAGTCTCCAAGAAAGGATGTAGCTGGTAGCTCCAGGAACACGGGACCAGCCCAGCGTCATTTTGCCAAGGTCGACATCGGTCACTCGGAAATCCTGCACCCTCGCAGCCTGAGCTGCAAACAAAGTAACAAGAGAACTTTCAGAAACCATGGCTAGCATGGATTTGATTGGCTGAATGGCCTCCTTCATGGCCATAGTGATACTGTTAAGATGAAACTAAAATTGCCTGAGACTAAGCCACCTGACACCAAATCCACAGACCCATACGCCAATTTTGATTCCGTCCCATACAAACTTTAGGAAGACCTGAAATCAAATAGCACCTGTCATGAGTCTGGGACATCACAGATCAAAACACCATCATAGACCTAATTGAAGAAGGTCTTTTGTGTAGGGCACATACATAGAAAATAGGGGCAGAGTAGGCCATTTGCCCCTTTAAGCCTCTTCTGCCATTTATGTAACATGGTGGGATTTGAACCCAGGTCCCCAGAACATTACCTAGATATTTTAGTTTTCTCTTGTTATTGTTTTGTAACTTAAAATGGTGCCAAATTGTGGCAACAGAATACTTTTTTCATTGTGACAATAAAATCATTCATTCATTCAATTGTTAGGTTTTCTGGTTAATAAAACCATCCCCTTATTTGTTACTACTTTGGAATGTTCTGAGATCATGAAAGGTATTACAGAAATAAAGTGATCATATCAGAAACTCAGTAAATCCACTATAGTCCCAGAAAGCTGCTCCCTCACTACAGAAAGATGACTGGAATTAAGTTTAACCAGAGAGTTACCCACTTCATAATAATCTCAGCCTCCTGTGGGAGTTGAACCAACACAGTTGGCATCACTCTGCAGTACAAACCAGCCATCCAACCAACCGAGCTAACCACACATTAAATCTTACCTGTAGCAGCTGTAATGGTTGTAGGGGTCCCTTCACGGTTCCCGAAAAGTGAGGAGATTTGAATGACGTAGCTCATCCCTGGCTGCAGGTTCAAGATGTCAAACGTGTCAGTGTTTGCTGTAACCAGCCGAGTGGTCTCCGGGCCACCTGCACACAGAGGTTCATTCATTACTTACCCCATCTACTTCAGATCTAAATAAATACAGCATGCAGCTAATGCTACGTGTGTGTGTGTGTGTGTGTGTGTGTGTGTGTGTGTGTGTGTGTGTGTGTGTGTGTGTGTGTGTGTGTC